ACGTCGAAAAACCTGTCACTAACAAGCTGCTCTCTGATGGTCTGACAGTTATTTGTTAGGGTTAGGTAGCCAATCATGCGCAATCTGGCTCCATGTTCACATAGTTTCACTATGATGGGCTTCCTTCAAATGTAAGGCAGTCGTAAGATATCTGGTAAACGCCTGGGAGATCCAGAAAATGTTTCCAGTTAGGAGATTGAAAACCCAACTTTTCTGCTAATTTAAACTACATACGTGTATTGTATGACAATTTTTTCCTTGAAAACATCAAATATGTGGGCAGAGAAAAAATGTGAAACATATAAGAGAATATCATGTCAAATTATTGCTATGTAACTACAATGCTAAATAAATGACATTTTATCAGTCCTAGTTTGGATGCAGTCCGAAAACAGGGACTTATGTTTTGATCTTTGTGTGTCTGTGCGTGTGTGCAATCACAATCAAACTTTACGCATACATCATACATAATATTGTACATATGCACATCAATTTGTTTCACGATCTGATTGAAGATGGCCGAATGGTGGGCATTTTCGTGCTTCAAAATCAAGCATTTATGGATTTTGTTCAAACTTGGTACACACGTTGGACATTATGGTACCTTGATGCACATCATTTTATTTTTCAGATCTAATTTAAAATGGTCTAGTGCCATATCTCTGCCACGCTTTGACTAATTATGATCAAATTTTATATATTCATTATGCATCATAATGTAGATATATTGGCTTGACTATCTGATTCAAAATGGCAGCCATTTTTGTGCTAAAAAATCATCAAAAATCAAGCATTTCAGAACTGGATCTTGGCGTTTATGGATGGATTTTGTTCAAACTTTGGTACATACATTAGAGATTATGGGTTCCTGATGCGTGTCATTTTATTTTTCAGATTGGATTCAAAATGGCTGACTGGCGGCCATTTTGTTTAAATTAATGTGCTTCTAGAGCCATGTCTCTGATATGCTTTGACTGAGTATGTAATTTTATATATTTCTTTTAAATCATGTTCTAGATATATAGATGTACTCAAAATGGTCAACTGGTGGCCATTTTGTTTTAATTAATGCTGTTCCAGAGCAATATTTCTTAATATGGTACTCGTTTGACGATCAGATACAAGATGTCAATCATTTTAATGTTAAAAAATCATTATCAAGCATCATCTTCTGGGTCTGGTTTCCAAAGGTAATACGATTATGAAACCTTTTACGAACTTCATTTGGTAAAATGGTGTTTATTCCCGATTTCAAATTCATAAGTAAGAATTATATTAATAATAAAAAAAAAAGTTTTTGTTACCTCATAGCATACACAATATTAGAGGCAGATCATTTCCCTTTGCAAAGAAATTTCAAGATATTACAGATATATTGCACTAATCCACGATTGACTGAATGTAAGAGTATTATTTAACGGGTGATGGTCATTGTGCATATAAACAAAGATGAAGATTTTGACTATTGTGCACACGAACTAGTACACACTGAGACTTTACCAAGCTTTAATTAGATATTTGTTTTTTGGTGTTTGGAAGGTATCAAAGGTGGAGTCACCAGTAGTAATTAGTGCAAGGGGTACCTAGGGCAAAACTCGTACTTGTGATTTCATTAGAAAACCTCATTGGAAGTCAGCTTTGAAAGATCGGTAACCGGCATCTCTAGTACCTTCTGCAGTCAGGTGTAATAAAGTATTCAGGTAAATATGCAACGTTTATTATTATTCATAAAGGGCAGTAATCGTCGCGCCATGCATGTGCGACATTTGTGTTGATAAACATTGATTTTCCCCACAATCCAATGCTCTCTTCTAATGAAAATCACAAGTTTGAGGTTTGATCTGGACGCAACTTGAACTAATTACCGCCGA